TTACCCCCCCCCCCCCCTTTCTTCGGTCGGCCCCTCCCCCCGGAAGAGTCCTCATTCGCGCATCAAGTGCCCCCGTTGGCGCGCCCCGTGCACCCTCGGGTGCTTTTTCTTTGCACGCCGGGCGGTCCGGTTGTGATGGCGCGCGCCGCCACCCCCTTTGCCGCCGCCGGGGGGGCCGCCGCCCGCCTTGCCGCAGGGGCCGAAATGAGCCGAGATGAGCCGAAAGGAGGCCGACATGGCCCAGGGGGGGGGGGGGGGGGGGGCACGCCTTGCCGCAAGAAGAGAAGGAGAACGCGTCGCGCAAGTAGGAGGTCTGCGGCGTGATGGAGCCTACGCCAGAGGTGCGAGCCCGTGCGAGGTGTGGCTCGAGAGGCAGGAGACCAGCGGCAGGACCAGTGCCGCAGTCGGCGTCGACGAAGGTGATCGTCGACGCCTCGAGATCAAAGACCGTCTCGCGGTAGCGCAGGATCGAAGCGCCTAAGGGGGAAGGGAGGCACGGATGGGCGCAGCGAGAGGTCGCACGAGCGGCGGCAGCGAGCAAAGCGAGCGCCGATGACGGTGCCTCCGCCGCCGTTGTCAAAGACGGCGAGGCAGTAGTAGCGTCCGACCTTCCCTCCGGAGTGGGGGCGAGGGAACTCGACCATGTACTGCCTCGGCCCGATGAGCAGCGGCCTGCGGTGCGAGGTCACCATGCTGACGCACACCGCACCACCCCACCTGCCTCGGCCCGAGGAGTGGGCCGCCTGTCCGGCGCCGCCTCAAAGACGAGCTGGAGCCTAGCAGCCAAGCCACGGCAGGTGTGGCTCGTCACGAGAGTGCGTGTCAGGAGTGGGCTCGAGCGGCGAGGGACCTCGGCATCGCGTCGAGTGCGTCGGTGCTCGCGAACCAAGAGCAGGCGCGCGAGCCTGAAGATGGGGAGATGTGGGGAGACGTGGGGAGACGTGGGGAGATGTGGGGAGATGTGGGGAGAGGTGGGGAGGTGTGGGGAGGTGTGGGGAGAGGTGGGGAGAGGTGGGGAGACGTGGGGAGATGTGGGGAGAAGTGGGGAGATGTGGGGAGATGTGGGGAGATGTGGGGAGGTGTGGGGAGGTGTGGGGAGGTGTGGGGAGGTGTGGGGAGATGTGGGAGACGTGGGGAGATGTGGGGAGAAGTGAGCAGATGTGGCTAGATGTGGGGAGATATGGGCAGAG